AATTTCGTGATAATTTTGTGATAATCTATCTCTTTTAAAGATTGTTTAGAAGAGATAAAAGAGAAAAAAGAGAAGAGAGGATAAAACTTTAAAGGAAAACATGAATTTTTATTTCAAATAAATTTATTTTTAAGGACATCGAATTAGTATTTCATATGTATTGTCCCCAAAAATTGAAAAAAAAAAACGGAATTTGTTCGTTTCCATTCTTTCGGTTAAGGTTCCGGTTCATACTGATTTCCTGTTTTTCGCCATTAACCATCGATGAATGGTGCAACTCAACGGAAAGCATCATTTGCATCTCGTTGTATCGGTGCTTCTTTTATAGAGATGTTAAGCAGAAAAAATTGGAGATAGTACCGAAATTGAGGGAAACGTTCTGATATGCTTTCTTATTCGATGCTGTTTATGATTCACTGTTTAAGAATAGAGCACTTCAAATAGAGCAATATGAGCTTGAAGAAATAACATCTTTTCCAAAATTTATTAATAAAATGTCCAAAAAAAATTTGTACAAATTTAGATAGATAAAATATTAATTAAGTCAATAGAAATGACAATAACAAATAAGTTACTAATTATGTCAGTTTGATAAATCCTTGATAAAAGTTTGACATTATTTGATAAAAGTTCGATATTATTAATTATATTAATTCGATCAGTTCACGTATCATTAATTATGCTAATTCGAGTATATCAATTCATGTATATCTTTTTCATGCGTCAATTACATTCGATGTGCATTTTTGTCCATTTGTATAAGGCTTAGCATGGCCAGTAATTAATGCATGACTTAATGATAGGATTAAATGAAGTCTTTGAAGAAATAAAAAGAGATAATAAAACAACTTACCGCCTCACAAATATTTGTTGCTTTATCACAACTGGTACATTCTGGCGATTCGTTGATCATTGCCGGAGATGGGATATTTTCGGAATCATTCCCGCTCGGGAACTCTTCCAATGTAGCAACTGGTCGAATAATAGTAGACTGTGCTGAATCAGCCGATGAAGTGCTCAGTTGTTTGGAGACTGGATTTTTGGTGCGATGATTGAAAACATCAGGTGATGAGATGCTTCGTGGTGATGATACGGTTAGAGCTGGATTTTGAACCGGAAGAGCTCTGTTAGCATCGCAGAGCAAGGGTGTGCAGCGTTCATGAACCCGACGAACGAAAGATTCCGGCGTTCGACCTTCCTCAATCACTTCATAACGATGATGGGCGGAAAATAGCGGTGGTTGTTTCAGTGCACTGTTAGCATATGTTGACTCACTTGGATTACCAAAGCCGCTTGTTCCGCCATTCTGTTGACGATAAACCTCGTGAATTTGCGCAAGCGGTGATGAGGGAGGATAATAGATATGCCCAGCTTGAGATAAATAAGAAATTGGATGGGCCTGATTTTTAATTTTTGGTGCCGTTGGACGATGATAGAATGATGCTTGTGAAGGAGAGGATATTACGGGCAGTGATTTCTTGCGTATTTTTGGCCTAACAACATCTTTTGACATATGCTGATTGATCTTTGCTTCAGCAACTTCCATAACCATAAATCTTGCCGATAATGTTTCAGTACTATCATCAGTTTGTTGTGATTCCTCATTCATGTTAGGCTATAATGGAAATTATTTAAAAATTTCAAATTTTTAGAATAAAAAAAAAGAGTTCGAAAATTGATTAATTAGAAATTCCCTTACAACTTCAGTATTAAATGAGGTACTACAATCTGAAAATATAAAAAAGTTTATGCAAAAAAAATTTATGCCAGCACGGATTTAAAATAATCACATTGACAAGGCATTTAAAAAAAAAATGTCGATCCAATGCGAAAGTAATGAGGTTAGGTGCATTCACATAAATCACATAAAGTCATCACATAAAATTCCTCCATGATAGAATAAATACCTGTGATTTGATATTTATTGGTGGCGGTGACGGTAGCATATAATTTCCGCATCCTTTTATTGTTTGCCAATGTCCGCCGGTTTGAATGATACCATTGAGATGTTGTAATTGTGGTGATTTTTGTGAAACAACAGCAGCAGCTCGTAATTCTGCTTCAGCTACCGCTAACCGATATCGATTCAATATGGAAGTGATAAGATCAGGTGATGAACGGCAAGTACTCAACAGATCCGGGCTACTGAGTGCATGACCCGGAGATGCCTATTAATGATTTTTACTTCTATCACAAAATCAATGATAAAAATGTTGAAGTGATAAAATATTAAAAAAATCTTATACAAGGAGTATGAAATTTCCAAAAACTAATGAATAATTATTTAAAATCTTACTTTATGTCGTCCTTTTTTCTTTCTTTTTTAAAAAAAAAAAAAACTGAGAAAGGATAAAATTTTACTGACAGAAATTATCAGCCGAAATAATTTAACAGATATTTAATGAAAAACTTTCGATATGCTTTTCAGACTAGAATTATCACTTACGTTATTACTGATTAAATTATCTGCTTCACTTAAATAGATGAAATTATTTAGCAACCAACGATAATACCTTTTGAGATCTATTTGCGAGCAAAGAATGCTTGTGCACTAATGCCGCAGCGCTTCGACCCAATGTATGCGTTCCGCCGCCAATCATACGAATTTCCGGTGAAGAACCAGTCATCTGAAATAAAGCTTCACTTTTTTGTAAACAAAAAATCAGCTACTTCTTTATTAAAATTCAATTAATCTTCATATTTCCTATTTCGAAACATAATAGCCAAATAATTTTTCACTGTGAAGTGGATGATATATCATAAATTATAAATTATGCAAAATACCGTATCAGCTAAATGTCGTTTCCGTAAAGCGGCAAAATTGTGAAATTCAAATTTTTGATCAACATCTTCAGCAATCGACGGAATCATATCGTTGGTATCTTCCGGTGATGAAGATGCATTCTACAACAATTAGCTTACATTGCAATTTACCAGTCTTTGATATAATTATTGCAACAATTAATTATAATAACGCCAATTGAATCTTACAGTGAATATTGTGTTGTGCATGAATAGAGTTTGATTAGACAGCTTTTGATTTTCAAAGATTGAGTACTGAAGTACTAAAGTACTTGAATACTCAATCTTTAAAAATCAAAAGCCCATTTTTGAACTACCGAAGATTGAACGCTCAATTTTGATATAGCAAAAAGTAATGTTTTAGGATATAATATACAAATTTTATCACTGCCTAATTATAATTTTAAATAATATTAATTTAAAATTACAAATAAAAATTTTTTAAACCTGCGCATTGTTTTGCAGTAAGAAGGGAGTTGAACAATACAGAACACCTGGTGGTGAAATATATTCTTCATCATTCATAAAATTCAATGCCGCTGTCGATTTTGATAATACATTTCGGGAAACATTTTCGAATTCAATATTTGCTTGACCTTGTGATAGTAATGTATTAGCAGTACCTGTTGAAATTATTAGAAGGATTAAAATGATTGAAAACAAATCAATTGCAATCGACTTTTAATTTTCAGAAATTAATTGATTAATTTCTGATATTATTATTATTATCGTAATCATTGTATTGTATTTTAAAATTAAAATGTTACAGATGATTTGAGAACTGTTTAATTATCGATATTTACGATAATAATATCTCTAACAATCAACTCTTCTGATACATTAAATTAATAATAGTACTATTCATAAATATCACTTTCATTTAGATATATTAATATGAAAATCATTCATTACCTTATTTTTTACTTAATCTATCTTTATTATTCAATCACTTTTAATATGTATGCATTTAAAATATCAACTTCTATTTTCTTTTAAGTTGAAATGAGAATTGTTCAGATAATATTTATGTCTATCTATCTATTTTTATCAGTGCAATTAATCAACAATTTAAGGATTGGATTTAAATAATCGAGATAATTTCTGGATAATTTTTTAATTCATAAAATAATATACCATTTTCTGGTTTGTTATGTTGTAAAAATGATGTTAACGGTGATCGTTTTGATGAATGAGTTTCATTGCAACCAGTACTGGTTGATAAATTACACATTGACGTAGCCTGTAAAAGTGACGTACGCTGCAGTCTTTTCGATGATGGCAAACGTTGCGTGGATGAGCAATACGTCGGTTCAGGCATCATTGTATAAACTAATGACGCATAGTCTGGTCCAATTAGGCGAGTTGAATTAAGCTGCAAACTTCCTTATCAAACTTATAGTACTTTTTTTTATGTAAATGATATAATAGTTTTCCATTGTAAATTACGGAAGCATAATAAGAATGATTTTCTATTTATGGGAAAATTTTACTGGAAATTATGACAGTTTAATTGAAATGCCCAATTTTGTGATAATAAACTGCTTAACAGTTAAGTAGTAGCCAAAATTATGCGACAATTTGGATTTTATATTTAAGCAATTAATGATGAAAAATAGTGAGAAATACTTCAGCATTTGATGATCTCATTTGATTGAACGTTCGGATACTTCCTTGCAAATTATTGATACTGCAAAAATTAGGTTTTTTTGAGCTTTTTAATAGATAATCAATTATTTTATGATAAAAAAAGTTATTATGATAAAATTTGAACTTTAAGGTGAAATATTTTAATTCAAATTTCGTGGTTGCATTTAAAAAATTTCACATGCACACATTTTTTTTTTAAAAAGTATAAATGAAATTTTCATGAAAAATATTTAAGCTTCCCAAAGCTCTGAAGATTATAAAAAAGCTTAATATCTAATTCACGTTTTAAAATTGATGTAATATATTTCGATAAGGAAAGCAATAATAAAAAGTCACAAAATTTTAAATAGAAAAAAGCAGTTGAAAGGAATATTCTAAATTACAATTTGAAAATCTCCTTAGTGTATTCCTAAATTTGGTCGAATGTAATTATAATTAAAATGTTAGTATGTGAATTTAAAAGAATTCTTACTTCATTGGGCTATTTTTTTCAATAATTGCTTTATTTGTTGCATAACGAAATTGCCACGTCATTACCATTGCTACGTAACGTGCCATTTCTGCATCTTCCTGGACAAAATTTTAATTCGAAAACAAATTTTTCCAAAAAAAAATAGATTATTTTAATTTTTTAATAAAGTATAGTGAGACAACAATATTGATTGGTTTTTAAATTAGCTAATTAATTTTTTCCTAATTTTGATATAACCAAAAAGAGCTATACCATAGTAAATTGAACTAAAGTTCCATTATGAAGTCGAACATTTAGATGTCGTTTCATTGCTTGCATATCCTTGATATGTTCCCATCCAAAATCAATAAATTTGATTTGTACATTCAAGAGCACACTTAATTTCGGGAGTTTATTTCTTCATGATTTTCAAAAAATTGATTTTTAACAAATCTTTTTTCGATCGACATACACGAAGAATTTGAAAATAATTTTACGGATTTACTTATGTTTTAATGGTGCACCATAGGATCCCTTGACAATAATGCCTTCCTGAGAATATCCAATCTTTACCTCAGTACTATCTTCATCCTAAAAATATACAAAATTTTCTTTTAAAAAATATAAGCTAATTAAATAAGTCAAAAAAAGCTAATTATTGTATTTTTGTAAAAATCATTGGAACAAAAAACAATTCAAAATTTGTATTAAACATTCGATGAAATATTGAAATAAATCCAAAAATTAGTATTAATCAACTTTTCTAAAACTAAATTTAGTAAAATATTAAATATTATACTTTTACCTTCCCATTAAAATACTCTTCGCCATAACCTTCACATTGTTGTGCATCAACGATATACAATAATGCAGCATAGCTCGGTTGCATCCCTTTCAATCGTTCATGTACCGCCGATACTCTCTTCAACAAATCTTCCTGAATTTGTGCACTTCGGCAAATATGCTGTAAATAAATATAATGAAATATTT